GGGTTTAGGGGTTAGCGTTTAGGGTATAGGAGTTTCGAGTTCGCTGTCGACACTAGCAGTCTTGTGGCTCAGGCGGTAAGCGGTCCTAATAACGGCCTCTTCAAACGAGTTCTGGAAGGTACAAAAACCGGGTTTCTGGTTAAGCTTTTGAGGTTCAGGGCTGCAGGTTCAGCGTGTAGGTTTCAGGGTGTGGGGTCTAAACCCTCAACCCTAAACCCTCTTAGGGTTCCCACCAAGAAACCCTAAAACCCTAAACCCTACACCCTAAACCCTAAAACCTAAACCCTAAACCCTAAACCGTATCGAGCCGCCAAGAAACCTTTGGAGCCAGGAACAAAACGGCTCTGGACTTCGCCAAAGACATCCATTCCCCGGCCTATCTCCTCGCTGGTCTGCAAGGTGGGAGAGTGGCGCAAAGAAAGCAATGACATAAATAAATATATATATATATATAAATAAAAATCATATATATATATACAGTTTGTGTTTGTGAGATTTTATCAGTTCTAACATGATACATACTATATATCCATATATTGCATATAGCTCATAATTAGTAAGACAACAGCAAGAACAGCAATAAGGTAAATCGCGCGTCTGCCGCCGAGGAGTTTGTGTCGTTTATTGTTGTGAATATCCGGGAGACTTGCGCAAACCTGGCATTTTTAAATTGTTTCTTTGGAGGCCAGTCTTGGCGCTATTTTGTTTGGTTCGGGTTTTGCAAGGGATGTAGGGAGTTGTGGCACACACCGTGGTTTGTGGCTTTTGTTGCGTAAGGTGATCGTGCATGCTTTCAATTTGGAAGCGCCCATTGTGTTCGGGATGGTTGTCGGTTGTGTTTTTTGTGGCAGTTGGTGAGAAAACCCCACAGATAGGGTGGTTTGCGCCGAATTTTCAGTGTCACATTTGGTGAACCCAGTCCGGAAGCGGGAAAACTGCAAGCAGGTGCGATTGACAGCAACATGTCCAGCAACAAGTCCAGCAACAAGCCAAAAGGAAGCTCAAGAAAACGAAGTCCGGGAATCCGGATCTCTGAACCAAAATATTTGCGATTTGGGTTTTGGATTTCAGGCTGAAGGTTGTAAGCCTGGCTCTATCCAGCCAACAAGGGCAACGACAATCAACCGTCATCGCCGACGTCATCAGCATCAGCATCAGCATCATCATCATCATCGTCATCATCGTCATCGTCATCATCACCCGCACCACCACCACCATCATCATCATGACCATCATCATCATCATCACCATCATCATAATCATCATCATCACCATCATCACC